AAAGACCATAAATATCTCAACAAAACTGCCCAAAAGGTGATTATCAAATAGAGGGCCAGGTCGGTCATTTAGGGGTGGAAGAACAACTGGGACTCAACCTAGAGGCCCACTCAGCTTAAAAGTTCTACGTATGCTATAGAAAATCAAGTACAATGGATATTGTGACTCTGTTTGGTTCAGGGAAAAGACCACAGTAACTCAGGGAGAAAGAAAGCTATTGTCCATTAACTCAGTAGAAAATCAAGTGCAATAGATATTGTGACCATGGACATCTGCAAACCCAGTTTAGCTATTGTCCATTACAGCAAATAAGGCTCTATCACAGTAAACAACCATACAATAATTCATTTTCTAATTCCATCATACATATTAAGCACTGTCTATTAAACAGGATTGTAGAAATTTTCAAGGCACATATGAATTTCTTAGTCAACATTACGGTCTCTTTCCACACAGAAACAAATTTGGCAATTTTTTCAGCACCAAAACATAGATCAAATAATAGAGCAATGCAGATTCAATGAAGCCATTATTCCATAATTCCATAAACAAACCCATTATTGAAAAAAGTTCATGAATAACAATGCAATGAACCAGAAATAGAGAATTGTTTACCTTCAACGAAATATATATTGGCTAAACAGGTTCATTCCAGGTGGGGCAATTTCAGTTCAGACAAGATTTAGGGGTTTTGGGAGAATGTAGTGCAGCTTCAGGTCGTGTTTTCATAAATGTAAGGGAAGCAATTTGGGCAAGTCAACATTTAGGGAGATTTTCTACTGGATTTGGGTGGGGGATTTCGATTTGGACATTTGGGATTTTCTACTAGATTTGGGTGGGAATTTGGACTGGGGATTTCGAATTGGGGGAATCTCTTTCGATGTAGACCTAATTGAAGGTGAACGGGAGTTTTCCAAAACTTTAGTCTTACATGGCCAAGGAAATGACTCCGTCACTGCTACGTCGGACTCCGTTAAGCCACATAGGCTAATTTCCAAATGGGTGGCTGTTTGGTAATGGAAGGAGATAACATTTTGCAAGTTCATCGACCAATCAGAAGCATTACTAAGTTGAGTGACCACAACGTAACAAAGTTCAGTGATTAATGAAACTTTTTACTCAAAAGATCATTAAACAGGTTCTATTTTGGGTTTTCTTTTAATCTTTATTGTTTATTTCTTGATTGAGTTTTTACATATTTTTTCATCTTTGTTGTTTATTTTTTGATTTTATTTTTATTTTTGGGAAGAAGATGAAGTGAGATGGGATGAAAAATAAAATTTTAAAGATTTAGGATTGTATGTGGCACGTATAAAAAATTGAATTTAATTTGTAAAAAAATAAAAGTTTGGATATTGAAATGAAATTATTCCTTTTTTATTTTGGCATTTTTTTACTTTTTTAACGGAAAATCTAACGGATCTTGAGATAGATGGGGTTTTCGCACAAAAAATTTCAAACAGGAAGTTTTTTGCAGGTTAAAACAAAATTTGAACAAATATTATTTATAATTTAAAGTTTAAACATTTGGCAAGTGCTCATTCGGGAAATACTAGGGGTGAACACGATTCGATTTGAACGATTTAAGACAAATTTCACATTAAAACATAAATTGTATTATTAAAAAATCACAAATCAAAGTTATATAATTATAATCATTATAATGCAACAATATGAATAAATATTTTAAACTCTTAGTCGATATTAATTAATGTGCATCTGCAATTGTAATAAACGATTTATTCTCTCCATAAAGATATGAATATAGTACATAAATTTATTGATTATAGTTAAATAATATAAAACAGCTAATAAAAGAAAATGAATTAAAAAAAAATCAAATACGATAATACCTAGCTACTGTAACTTTTTGTGAATCATCAAATATTTCTACTTTATCCAAATATTGGCGAATTGCTATAGTTTCTTGTTATCGTGCAACTAATTTTTAGGACAAATCACTGCCTCAATCTTATTTCCACTCAACGAACTCTTAAAGAAATCAAGAATTCGACCACTAATAATGAAAGTAGACTAAAAAATAATTGTGGATATTTGAATAGCTAATAAATCGTTAGCAATTTGAAGGACAATCTTATATTTATTTGAATTCAATTCCCACCTAATTAATATGTCGAAAGGTTCATTGGTCAAATTTTTAAAACTACCATTAAGTAATTCACCAGAAATTAAGTTAAAATGTAAATAATTAAGGGAGCCCAACAATAATTTAGAACAAAATAACATAACTACCAATAAAACCATAACAAACAATTACCAAAAAATAAAAAAATTGGATAAACTGACTTGAAAATTTAGGCAAAATTTGAGAAATTATTCATAGAAGGAAATGAAATCTGTGAGTTTGAATTAAAATCTAAAATTAATTGTCTATTCAATTATAATGGAGGGTCAATAAATATGGTTTAACATCAATTGTTTAACACTTCCCAACTTCGAAGATTTTAAATTCACAATTGTGATATCTGATGGGTATTTGGATATGATTTAATTAATTAATCGAGATATATAATTGTCTATTTAGGTATTGAGCTTAATTATATTATGTCTAATATGAATGAATCTTTTTAACTAAAATGTACTTAGTAATCAATTTTATTTATTTATTTATTTTGCTTTGTAAACGGTTCGATGGTTTGAAACAGTTTGTAAATGTTAAAATCTAAACCAAGCCACTTCGAAGCGATTTGGTCAAGTTTAAATCAAAACATGAACAGAGCCACGTGGAACCAAATCAACGGTTTCAAGAAAGTGATTTCGGTTCGATTTTACAGTTTGACGATTTCGTTGTTCGGTCCTAGGAAATACTTTATGGATTAACTTGATATTTCCCACAAACTTCAGTGATCATTCATGATGTCAACTCTTGATATTATGATAATGTATTACAAAATCTACAAATATCACAGCCTCACAGGTATGTTCAATAAACAAAGTGTGCCTACGAAAGGTCCTAGGAAATACTTTATGGATTAACTTGATATTTCCCACAAACTTCAGTGATCATTCATGAAGTCAACTCTTGATATTATGATAAAGTATTACAAAATCTACAAATATCACAGCCTCACAGGCAGTGGCGGATCCAGGATATTGATCCAGCTAGGGCGATCGTTGACTACCGCAATAGTAAGATTATTTATTA